GCTAGCCCTCCTTCTTTGAACAGCCTAGAAGTAAATAGGGAATTAATTGGGTTGTCATTGATCAAAGCACCGGATTTGGTTAAGTTTCCCCTGGGGTTCTCATGGATTGTGCAAATTACCTGGCGGAGCCTTCTCCGACTTCTACATACTTTGCCTCAAGCAGCACAATATAGCTGACAGTGGGCGAAGCGCAAGCATTACGCCAGTGCGGAAGAAAGGAACCTGCAAATATCTCTCCATCGCTTACACCTCGGTTGCTCTGAAAACATTTGAGATGCACATACTTAAAAGGATCTCAGCCCACACCCACTTGGATGACCCCCATCCGTTTGCATATCGCAGCCCAAGGTCTATCTCAGATGAAGTAGCATGTGTGATACACACTGCGATCCCGTAACTGGATAATGAAAACAACTCCATTCGCATCTGCTTCCTGAATTTCAGCAACGCTTTCGGATGTATGAACCGTGGACCACTGTTGCGTGATCTGTTAGGTGCTGGAGTTCCAACTTCTGTTGTTCTTCTGTTGAAAGATTATTTCATCTATCCTGCACAGTATGCCAGGTTAATGGAAACACACTTCTTCACTCAACACCAACTCTGGTGTTCTTCAGGGAGCCACTGTGTCCCCATCCTTATTTTCCACTTAGGTTACCACAATCCCAGTGCCTGATGAAGCCAGCATTGCTGAAGTATGCGAACGACATAATAGCTGGTGTCCAGCATCCAAGCATTAAGTCATCGACCAAACTACAGAGCACTTGGACAACATCATAGCCTCGTCAAATTCCCTTTGTCTACCGGTCAACACCTCAAAATGCAAGGATGTCCTTTATTCGCTGTTCAAAGGAAACCGCTATCAGTACATTATAACGCAATGTCCGCAACTTTGCACTGACGGTGAGGGTTTGACGTCTTCCACTTCAGGAAAATACTTAAGAGTGACTGTGAGCGGTAGGATTACGTGGTCCTTCCACGTCAAAGAATCATTCACTAGTTAGAAAACTCACGTTCTGTGCTACACGGCTTAGTTATTCTTCCGTACCACATTCTTCGATTCAGTGTTTTATCACTGCATTTGTGTTACCCTACTGGATATATTGCACACCTGTAGTCTTTCCTTGTTTCCTGAGTAAGGACCTCAAGCTAAGTACCAGCTCAGTGAAGCATCTATCCCGGTGTAGTGGTGTTTCAGGGCTGGAACTTGTTAACATTATTGTAGCCAGCCACTTCAACTCGTGTAACAAGTTTGCATCTAAAATACTCACTAATGTTAGCCACACTCACCACAGTGCTTTTTTCGAATGCGTATCAACATCCTCGACCCCACAGAGCTAAGGGCCTATATACGTCCGCAGAATGGCTAATGGCACATCGGTAGTTTCTAGCCTGTCACGTTTTTAAAACGATAGGAATTCAGGCATCCAAGCAAAATTTAGTAAATTGCTCCAGTGATATTTGCTTTGTCGTGATTCTTTAACATTTTGATGTTATATCTATCGCAAAGAACTATTCGTTTTGCGAATTCATCGCTTTAACTGGCGTGTGTGTTGGAGATGAATACTCACCATCCACGGGTGCATAAAGTTCGTACTTGCTTTGATGAATTGGCTAGCTTTGCGCGCTACGTCCTGCAATACCTCAATGCTGTCTCCGGAAAACACTTTTCCCGAGTACCAGCACTGACGGTACTCAGTTACTGACTGCATAAACAAACCCAGCCGACTCAACGAGCAACAGATAGTGTATTCTCAACACCTTGCGAACACATGTAAAAATAAAAGACAGAAGAGAACACGAGATGTCCCACAATTGCCGCTCTCCTTACACAAATAATTGATTCGATTAATTCTCTTATGTATAACAGACAATAGCCCCCAGTGAATCCCTCAAAGTCTATCTAGTCTCTTTGGAGTACATAATGGAGGAACTATTGAACATTTCCGCCCCACATTTACTGAATGCGGATAAGCTAATACACAAAATAGCTGCTGTGATATACCATGGTATTGTCAGATCATGAAACACATTTGTTTTCCATGTCCTAATAGTTACCCAACCGCCTCCGTGAAAAGTATTTTTGCTTAAAGCTAGTATGATACCCGCGACCGGCTGTAGCGTGGTGCAATATTGGAAAACTTTCACAAGCATAGTTGCCCAATATTGTCTAGCCTCAGCAGCTCCTCTGATGCCATCTACCGAACGCAAGTCTACCGTCAGCAAATTCGACTACACTCCCCTGCAAATGAGCGACCTGACTTCTCGCGAACAGAAGTCAAGCCCTGTGTCAGTAATTCGATTTCCAATGTCACGCACTAGTCATTAGAAAACAAGATTTGTTACTACTCAATAGAGAGTGGGTCGCAGCAGCTTCCAAATCAGATTTGTTACGCCTAAACTCGATCACTGCATTGATGTGGGTGCGTCTGATGGACCCGGTGAATACCATGCTCACATGAGTGTACTGATTGACGATAATTTGGGGACCGATCTACTGCGCGAAGAATCCGCGAATCATAGAACCCCGGTTAGTCTGCTTCGAGAATTAAGCATTTGGTTCTTGTGACCTACCACACGAGTCAGGCTGAAATAGCAGAATGTTACGAGGATGATTGCACAATTACGCGGTCCCGCACATCAATACCACCTGCCAACACAACAGATCCGCTATGTAAAGTTGCATTGAGAGATGATATCCACAGTAGTGCAGTACGAACTGTTGCAACGTAACAATGGCGTATTAAGGGTAAAAAGCAAGGTTTAACAAGTCCATTGGGATGAAAAGTGACATGTATTGCTCAAGTATTCCTATTCCGTAGTTGGACATGTAGCCGAGAACTCGGAGTGAGAAGTCACAACCGGATGGCACACCCAGTATTGTATTTTGGCATGTGCATCGAACGTGGCAAGCATAAACAGTAAAACGAACCAATCAGAGCAAGCATAAAGGGCAAGTTGGTATCCACCAGTGTGACAGTGCTGTTCCATCAAGCGTGTGGGTGGGTGTGGTTGTTTGAGTAACCTTAAGACGTGCGGCCATTATGGAAAGTATCGCGAAAATAAAAATTCATGATAAAACGAAATGTGTCTTGTGGGACTCACTCTAGACATGCGTAGAAGAGCCCAGGTGTCCGCCTGATAAAAGGACAAATCCAGTTGTTAGAATTCTGGAAACACACCGTTTGGCTTTGTTATTTATTGCCTGGTTAACACAAACTAAGGAATGAAATACGAATGGGACAATGCCACATCAAGATGCCTATTAACTATCGTTAGGTTGGGGGAAGAGACGACATAAGTTGGGACAGCGTTACACGGCTGACCAATTCCAAGTGCGAAGACATTTCTTCGGCATTCTAGCTGGCTATGCAGACATTCCAGTTTCGAAGTTTGACCTCTTAGGTTGGTGTTTGCGCCTTAGTTCCAGTACCGGGCGGTATAAGTCGTTTTGGTTCTCCATAATCTGATAATGGTTTGTATGGTCTCCCCGCAAGCACTGATATTGACTGCTGCATGTTACTAGGGTCTTCAATCTAAGCTGGTAGGGCAGATGGAACAGATCCCTTACTTTCCTGATTGCTTTTGCTTGAAGAGTCTCGAGCGCAACATGATCCTGTTTCTGATACGACTGCCAAGCTTGGATGGCGTATTCCATATGCGGTCGCACGTTGGAGTTAAGCGTTTGTGGGAAGACTGAAAGGTCAAACCGAGCGAAAAAGTCCAAAGTATTGATTGCCGGTTCTCCACGCCTCCTTTGCTTGTTTTGAGAAACCGAGATCTTCCTATACCAGTACATCCAGGTCACGCTCCTGACAGGCTTGCTGCAAGGTGTGGTCTCCAAGCTTGTAAACGCTCACCGGCTGAGGACACGGGTGGATCAACTTGTATTTAGCTGTGTTCAACCGTAGTAGGTTCCTCGTTGCCCATTCCTAAACGTTACGCAGGTCGTATTGTAAGAACTCTTGATCTTCTTTGCTATATGCGCTTGCCATAGTTTAACACCAACGGCGAAAAGCAGGAAATTGGTGGAGATAACTCTCGTCAGGTTGTTGATAAACACCAAGAATAAGCGCCGTCCCAACACTGAGCCCTGTGGAACACCGCATTCCACCTCAATCGGGTTGGAGAGTGACCCCCACACTAGCACTTGAACTCTCCGTTCGTGAAGAGTTGCCAGTCCAACGAAGAACAGGATTTCTCATGCCATAGCTCTGTAGCCTGTGACCCAGGGTACGGTGTTTTAGGCGGTGTACCGCTTTAAAGAAGACCAGATAGATGAGCTCGACCCCGACCCTACCATCAGCCACTTCCGTCCAACTATCTTGTGTCATCAGCATGTTGGCGGTGTACGACCGGTGTTGACGGAAGCGATGCTACTCCGGTGCCAAGACATTGCATTTTTTCAGGTATTCCATTAGGGCTTCAGCGATGACAACTTCTATTGCCTTTGAGAGCACAGGGAAGGGCATCACTGAGCGATAGTTCGTAGGGTCTGAACGGCTGACTGCAGTATTGATGACTTTCTTCTACACAGTGCGAACCTGATGTTCATCGATGTATCTTTGAAAATATTGTGACACGGGTTTTGCTACCATAGTGCCCGCAGTTTTCAGTGCTTTCGGGCAAATGTTGTCGGCTCCCGGAGAGAGCTATGAGAGTAAATTCCTTAACACAGTTTCTGGGATGAAAATTAACCTTTTTAAAAGTTGGAGTAGATGAAGTCAATGGCTTTATATAACAGGGACAAGATGCGAGTTCATAAACTTGGGCGTATTGTGGCCGCAGGACATTGGCTGCTTCGCCGGTGCTTTGTACCCTAGCGACTGTTGCTAAAAATAGAGGGATGCCTTGCTTTGCTTTGCGACGACTGAGGGACAAGCGAATTGTTGTGGTTCGCTACCCTGAGCTTATCCTGATTGGCTGAACTTCGCTCAACACTGATTGATCGAGTAGTGGACTTCATAGGGAGTGCTATTTTTCGTTCTGTGCAGTTGTACGTTCTACGCGCCTCCTACATTATAGTTCTGTTACATCTAGGTTCCTCTGATACAACGTTTGCCATCACGGGTACCACCACGAATCTTTCAACTCAATCTCCTTCGGCATTTTAGACGGACTTGAGAAATAGGCCTACGTCAGACGCCTGACTTCATCGGAAAGTTTTCTTCCATAATTGTTTGGATTTACTTACCGATCTAAAATCTCTACTCAGCGAGGAAAATTACTTAAAGCTGCTTGGCCGCTTGCTCGGAGATGAGGGGCAACGGCAGTTTTTAGACCTATACCTCCAGGGACACAAAGTAGCCGATGATGCACTCAAAGCACTTGATCGCATTTTGGGCTCCAAAATGAACCTGATAAATGAAAGGTACATCTTCTACCGAATGCAACAGGAGCCAGGTGAATCTCTGAATGCTTTTACTACTAGACATAGTCGTGCAGTGCGGCCTTGCGATTACTATTCTATTCCGCAGCACAAGATCGAAGAATGCATGCTGACGCAACAGTTGGTCTCTGGAGTTGCTGATTACCGTACACGTGAAATGTTGCTGCAGAAAGAATCCCGAACTCTGGCCTGGGATCGAACCTGCGCTTTGGCCAGAATGAATGAGGTTACTTTGCAGGCGGAAGAGTTTTGTGTAACTAAACTGATTGAGGTGGCAAAGACACAGTCCATTCATCCCTTACCGGAAACTAAACCATCCTGATACCGCTATGGTAGCACCTCCCACAAGGCCAACTTCTCTTGTCCAGCCCGCAGTCTCACATGCAAAATCTACGGAAATATTAGACACTGCTCACTGTTGCCGATCCCAACGCACAGGACTCCTTTTCCATCACGACGTAATCGATTCAGCCGAGCAACATGTTTAACCACTCACAGCTGATGTCAGCAATTTAAGAAATGTGATGATATCAGTAATTGCACCGAAATTTCCCTCCGCCAAGATTCGAACTGTCTTAGTACCTACGAACAAAGTAACTATCCCACTAGAAGTCGAATTCCATTTCTCTTCTCCTATTACTATTGAGCCCTGCAATTTCTACAAACGTTACTAATCCAAATACCCTTTACAGCCGACTGCTCACTCATTCTAGAGTTACTGGGGTAATACTTTAACCATCCTTGACTTTCTCATCGTACCTCTCCAAATTAGCCTGGTATCTGCGGATGTCGCGGTATACGTTTCATCCGATAACAAGCGGCCTTTGCTTGGGAGGAATGCAATGGTTGCGTTAAATGTAGTGTCATCTTTCTATCGAATGTCTGTTTCCTCCATTGGAGTAACAGACTGGCAAGACCGTCATGTAAAGTTTTTCAACCTCCTATCGGATGTCTATCATGTGTTGTTCATCGAATCCAGCGGAAACAGGTACGAAACCTGTTTCTATTAGTCAACCTCGACTGATTCTACTTGCGAGGTATCAAGCTGTCTCAGCAGCCTCACAGCACATGTTAGCGAACGATGTAATCGAACCAACCGATTGCTCCGAGTTTGTACATCCAATGCTGAGTGTTTTGAAAAAGGACGGCACTGTCAGGAGATGTAATGATCTGCAAGGTTTAAACAGGCAGATAGTCGTCGAGCGATTTGCGATACCTTCTTGTGATGAGCTGACAGTTCGACTTTCCCGTGCAAATTTTCTCAAAACGGGATTTCAATAGTGTGATTTTCCACATACCTTTATCTGAGAACCCCAAACACCTTACTGTCTTCCTAGCCCCTGATGGATTATTTTAGTACAAAATTTTATTTATGGGTCTTAGCTACATGGCAGAAATTCATGACTCAAGCTCTGGCATGTATTGATGGACAGGTTGCCAACTTGGAACATATTCGTGTCTTCGGTCACCCGCTGGAAGAGCATGATGAGCGCTTACATAGTCTTTCATCGACTCAGTGAACTCGGTCTCCACTTGAGCACGACAAAGTGCATAGACACTGCTTTTGAGATGCAATTACTAGGGCGCATCATTGCCCACAGCTGCTTTCGCCCCAGTAACGCAAATATCCGTGCCATAGCTGACTCGCAGGTACCTAGTAACTCAATAGGAATAAAGTCTTTTCTGGGTATGTACTCTTGCAACTTGAGAGATGTTCGTGAATTTGCAACCGTGGCAGGTCGACTACGGAAACTAACAAAAAGCGGTCACCGTTTGTTTGGGAAGTGAACAACAAAAGCCTTTGACGAACTTAAACGACGGATTTCTTCTGTCCCATTAATTGCCATCTCTGACGGATCATGCCGTACTTTTGTGTCAACGGATGCCTCCGACGTCGGCCTCGGTGTTGTTCCTTCATAAATACAAACTGAAGTGAAAGTTATTGCCGGTGCTTCACGGAAGTTATCAGACTCGTAACTTCACTACTCCACTGGCAAAAAGGAAGCTCCTGCTGGTGTGCGGACTTGTGTGAAACGCATCTTTACCTCTTTGGCTGCCGTTTCATTTTAGTAACTGACCACATAGCTCTCAACACCCTCCTCACAATGAATCTAAAACGTTCGGACCGATGCTAATCAATCGCTGGTACGCCGGACTTCACAATTACAATTTTCAAATCGTTTACCGGCCGAATCAGAATGGCAGAGTCAGATGGTGGGTGGATTATACCGCTTATCTTTAGAACTGGAGGATGGAAGAGAAGGACTCAGGGAGGTGGCATGGGTGACTGGTATTGGATCCAATTCGTCCGCCCTGACGATTAATAAACTACAAACCGAGAATGAACAACAAACCATGATTTATCACGGGATAAAACCAAGTGCATGACACGTCCCGTAGGATGGTTGGGGTGAATAGCATGAATGCAAAATATATGTGGGTCATCTACCGAACGTCTACCGAGGTGAATGCTTTGATAAATAACGTCAGTATAAAATAAAAAAATTAGGGTGTAAGCGTACAGAAATACACTTGGTGCAGTGGTCGTTGATATAAAGCATGAGAAAAGTAAAATATGGTCACGCACTTGGGTCCATTTGATACAAAAATCCAATAGAAAGCGTGCCTGGCATAATCCACAATAGATGAGTTTAGGTAACAAAGTGCTGGGAGTTAAGAGCAACATCTAATCGTTTGTTGAAAACGTCCAAGGTAGGAGAGGATACAACTGAGTCTGGGATTGCGTTCCAGGTTTGTCATACCCGAAGGGAAAAGTAGTTACGTCAACACTCTAAACGACTATATTATTCCCTCGATTTTAAGCAGTTACCTCTGAGCTGCGTGTTGTGGCTGTTTCAGCAAATGGCACTATGCTTGTTTGAAGTCACTCAATATCTGGTACGCTAATATGAGATCAAAAGTCAGTGTTAGCGTACATATGTTTTCGATAAATCTGCATCAGGCTAATAAAAGTATATACCAGGTACATCGATTAGATTGACTACTAAGTCGTTAAAACGGGGTAAAATCAGTTTACATGTGTTCAACTATCGCCAATACTCAGGTCAATGTCGGAGTCTTCACACGATCCAACTGAGTAAAAAGCACTACTCGATCGGGCCAGGGTAGTTGTAAGGCTTGAATAAATCGCTTTTGGTTGCACGACTTTGGTTTGTACAACCCGATTGCTATGGCTCCAGCAGCTTCTAGTACCCGTCTGCGGATATACTTCGATCGATTATCCGTGGCTGTTTTTACTTTCTGGACGTGGGCCTAGAGATTCGATAGCGGGATATTACAGCGTCACGTATAAAGAAAAAGCTCGTGGAGCGGCCAGTACACCAACTTCCACAGCTTCGGGGCACTTAGGCTGGAACGTAATTTAATTCATAATCTGGTCAGTAGAGCAGAAAGAATCCGCCCGCATGATACACTGGCAGTTGCACTACAGCGAATAGGCTCGTTGTTGCGGGGAAATGGGTATCCAGATAACTTAATAAAAGTCCACATGGAGAAGAGTATGAACACACCGGTTGTTTTAAGAGCTAGAAGAAAGCGATTTGCTTGCCACTACCTTAAAAAGGGAAAATCGCTGACGAAATTCTTGCGCGCCGTTTATCACAGGAGCTTAGACGGAGGTTCCCAGCAGCCAAAGTATATACTTGCTTTACCAGCACACCGACGGTGAAACTCAGTCTCAAGTATAGTAGACCTGTCCACAACAACTCTCTGTGCATCTATTGTTTTACCTGTTCCTGTGGTTTAGGATCCATTAGTCGAACGACTAGGCGTCTAGTCAAAAGAATGAAAGAAAATTGTCCGGCATGGCTAGCGACCGGATGCAGAAGGGTAGGTAACTCAGTCATAACGCCCAACTTGCAGACACAGGCAGCAACCCTAGGCCAGCCGAAACATTCCAATTTATCTACAAGACCCCGGATAATCGATCGAAGTATATCCGCAGTCGGATACTAGAAGCTGCTGGAGCTATAGCAATCAGGTTGTACGAAGCAAATTTGTGCACACAAAAGCGAATTGTTCAAGCCTTACAACTGCCCTGGCCCGATCGAGTAGTGCTTTTTACTCAGTTGGATCGTGTGAAAACTCCGACATTGACCTGACTATTGGCGACATTTGAACACAAGTAAACTGATTTTATTCCGTTTTAACGACTTAGTAGTCTATCTAATCGATGTACATGATATATAATATGAGATCGCCGCGCAGCATTCGGTGGCGTCCGCTGAAAATTCCAAGCAACTTCAGTCTTCGGTGGTAAGAGCGATAGACCAGGCCCTTGACATCCCATGTTGCTGTTTGTTTTGGTGCCTCTAATGTCTCTAGGTTGCGCTTTAACCAAGTTTGCCAAGCTTGCATAGCGTGTTCAACTTGCGGGCGCACGTTGGAATTGTGCATCATTGGAAACATTGATGAATCAAATCTCCCGAATGCCCTTCGCAGCATGCCATCTTGCCGGTTGTCTATTTTCGCACTTACCTCTGCCTGTTTCGAACAGTTGAGGACACCCTATACGAGCAAAGCAAGTTCACGTTCCTGGGAGCTGGTCTGAAATCGGTGTGCCCCAAGCTAATACGTGTAGTCATGTTTATGGCATAATTGCTCATAGCGACACGAGTCTACGTCGAACAGTTGGGCGTCTTGAACTGACTAGTTTGACACCGTGGTAAGTGCAAGTAGGTGCCGTGGTTGGTCGTCGCTATCATCCGCCAAAGCGTTACTGAACACCAAGAATAGACACGACGGCGCAGCAACTCGTGGCTTACGTTAAAAATGGATGGATGTAGAACAACAAAATCTTCTGTCATTTCCTTCCGTATTATGCAATACGAGAGGAATTTGCAGTCCTAAATGGTTGTCTAAATCAAGGACCAGTATTTGTAGCTCCATCGTTGCTCGTTACAAGGATGATTGCGTGTGCTCATGAGGATCATCCGGGTATTGTCCGAACTAAAAGTAAAGCTCGACAGTACTTTTGGTGGCCAGGAATGGCATCAAGTATTGAGGAATTTGTGAGAAACTTTCAAGCTTGCCGAATAGCAGGTAAAAGTTCTCTGCCTGTCGAGGCTCCTGTGCAACCGCTACCATACCCGGTGAGGCCACAGGGCAGAATTGTATTTAAAGTTATGGACCACTTCCCCACTGCTCCGGTGAATAAGAAAATCTACTTGTTACAGTCTGCTTTTGTAGCAAATGGCCTGAGGTTCATATGGCTGAACAAGTGATCTCATCCGTAGTGCTGCGATGGCTCTGATATATGGTCAGTCGCTTCAGATTATCAGAGGAAGTGGTTACAGATGATGGTCCCCGATATTGTAGTTACAACTTCAAAACTTTCCTCCAACGACATAATGTACTACATTCCCGAGCTGCTTCCAGCAATACTGCAGCTGAAGGCATGCTTTAGCGTTTTAATCGGTTTCCCAAGGAGGCAGTACAGGTCATCCAAATGGGAGGGATAGAGTGGGAAGAAGTTGTCTTAACGGCGCTG